GTGTATACATTGTGTATTAAAAAGGGTGTGTATGTCAACACATATTAGATATGCTACAAAATGAACACGCACTGGAGTATGTGGGACTAATACAGAAAAGTGTATAACATTGTAAACGCCGAACAATGGACATGGCCCTGATAGGGGTATTGAAATTACACAGAGTCTTCAAACTCATACCGACACCGAAAACATCCGTGTAGGAGGGAGGAAGAAGTGGATTTTTCATACCTGACCCTCCCAGATTCCGATGAAGTCGCCCGAACAGTTTAATACTACTATATTGGGTTGCCCGCTCCCTCGTGGTTCGGCGGCAAGTCTAAGGGCTTATATATAATTATCTATGATAATGCTAAAAACAGGATTTTGATACCCGTGTTGAAAAGAGCACATATAACCCATTGTGTAGCTTTGCGCTTAACAACAAACAAATTATAATATACTGATTTATCTTAATCTTGATATAAGAGCATAAGACGAGAATGATCTATTTTTAAGAGAACTTGTTACCCACACAATTTATGATACATATATAATAATTGTTTTGCTTTGTTTTTGCGTAAAAGGAGTGTAAATTCGTAATAGTGCAAAAAAGAAAGAAAGAAAAACGTGTAAGATAAGAAAGTTTGGTAAATCACATTCAAATTTTTCCTTATTTCAGAAGAAGACAGGTCCACTTGTCTAGCTAGGGTTATGATTAGGCTGCGCGTACAATATCCAGTATTTCATCATTACCGAGTGTTATATTTAATATAATAAACTTATTGCAATTAAGAAAGCAAATGAATACATTACATCAACAACCGATATTTCTTAAGTCTATACAAAGCAGTGTTCCTTCCATGGTCATAATGTAAACGAACGAACGAGATTGTTTGCATGTTCTAAATGTTGTCAATACTCAAGGGAAATCATCAAAAGGGCGAGTTCACCATAGGCCTACTGTTTTCACAGAATAGGTTCCGGGAATAGCGTCATCGTTAGCACAGTGTTCCCGCGCCGTTGTATGAAAATGGCGACAGGAGCGAGTGATCTTACATCGCAAGTGGTGAGAGGACAAGTTTTTGAGGTTGGACCTCGATATACAAATTTAGTGTATATCGGCGAAGGAGCGTATGGAATGGTCGTGTAAGTGGTTGTTGTTGAAAGTTTAATTTGATTCGTTTCGCACTGTCAGATTATCCAATAGTTATACTTTTTTTTTTTAATTTGTGTGTAAGTGTGACTATATTTAAATTTAAGTACCTGTTGTCATAGCCCGATGGTTTGTCTGTACAAACTAGGTAGTAATAGTAGCTATATGCCTCAAGCAAACTGAATTGTAATTGCTTGCAGATAAATTTTAATATAATTTTTATGTTACCTCATTTATTCAATAAAATTACATTATCTCAAGCAGAAGAATAAAACTATGCATGAAAACGTATTATGCATGTATTACTATTAAGTGCAGATCTTACATTTACAGTATAGTGAGTAATACTAATAGTAATACAATTTGATATTGTATTGTGTAAATTAAAGTATAGGTAAAATTATAAGTTTATTATTCCGATTTATTAAACCTAGCATAAGTTACAAAGAAACTAATATAGAATTCATAATAGTTAAACTGTAATTTGAAATGCTGTCTCCCGTGACGTTAGTTTACCATTACAGGTGTTGTGGTAAATTAAAAATATACGAACGGTGAAAACTATATATATATATATTGAATATCACCGGGTCTGAGTTAAATCTATTTCTCTCCCTGATTATAATTAGTTATACTTATGAATATGATAAATTTAAATTCGTGTGAGTTACAACGTGAAAAACTCAGTGTTTTTCAGCAACTGACATATTATGGACTTGAACTGGGAAAATTAAAAACTTGTGTATGAAATGTAGTTTTTATATTTGTTACATTTCTTCGTGCTTTTTAAACCATAATGTATGTGCTGTCATCTATCACTGTATCAGTTAAAGAAAAACTAATTATCGTTGACAAATAATGTTGTCAAACCTAAATACAAAGAGCAGACTTTTATAAATAATTAGTTACAATAAATAATAGGTAACTATTTATTGTATGTTAATTGTTACTAAATTAATTTTATAATGTTTATAGAATTAAGTGGTAAAGCAGAAGTAATGAATAAAATTACAGATATAAATAAATTAAGAAACATGCTTTCATTACATTAAAAAAAAGAAATATGCTGTTAACAGTAAAAAAGAAAACTCAAAGTAGTTATGAAACACAAACTACAGTTTTAGCTCTAGTGAAAATAAGGTTTATCAGATCTGGAAAAGAAAGTAATAAAGCTGAGAAGATAAGCTTTTTCATTCTGTAATTTTTGTTTGTTTGTTTTAGTTAAGCACAAAGCTACACAATGGGTTATCTGTGCTCTGCCCACCATGGGTACCGAAACCCAGTTTCTAGTCAGTCTGTGATAGTGAAGCTAAGTAAAGTTCTATCATTGCTGTTCAAATACAACAATTTTTAAAGTAAAGTATAAAAACATGCTGTTTTGCTTAAGAAAGAAGATGATTTATAATTAAGGAACAATATTATTAGGGCTTCTCTGGGTAATGATATCTTTTCTCAGTGAATCTGTAAAGAAAATTGGCCAATAAAAATTTACTAATTTTGAAAATTATGAAATCTTTATAAATCAATGTACTTCTAAAGTTGCCTCTTCTAAACTTCTATGTTTGTTATTTATTTATTTGAACACTGTACTTTAGAATACTTATACTTTCACAGCTCCTTTTTTTATAGATCATTTCAAAGTATGTTTTGTCTAATTTCTGTATAATAATACTTTATAGTGTCTTTAATGTAAGGTTATTTTTAGGGGAAAAACTATTTCTAACCCTTGGCTTATACGAAAAGCTCTGAGTCTGGCATTTACTTTCTAACATCAAACTTAGTAATACTAATATATTCTTATTGTTAGTTAGTAATGTGACTTGTTTTAATCACAGTTCAGCAGAAGACAACATTGATAAAGTGAGAGTAGCTATTAAGAAAATATCTCCGTTTGAGCACCAGACTTACTGTCAACGAACCCTTCGGGAAATTAAGATCCTAACCAGATTCAAACATGAAAATGTAAGTTGCAAAATGCCTAAAACATAAATATTTAAATGGGATTTTAAATTTTTGTTTTTTAAACATATATCTGATCTTTAGTCTTTTAATGTTAGCTTTTTTTATCACAAATTAAAACCATCATCTTTCCATTAACTGGATGTTGATTATTAAAAAAAACTTTATTGAAAGAACCAGGCCATATTGAAAGACTTTATTATGTTTCAGTAGGTTATAAACTTACCATCATCAGGAAGGAGACAGCAGTGAAACATTCCAGTGTTTATGTACTTTTCCTATCTTAATATGTAAAACTTCAACCATGCAATTAACAAAAATAGTGCTGCCACCTACTTATCTTTTTTTTAAATAGATTTTTGTGACCCAATGAAACGTGTAGAATTTTTAGGTAAAGCTTGGTGCCTTCAGTAAATTTTAGTCTTTATATTATGTAATTATTAACATCGTCTTATCAAGTTTTGTAATAAGTATTTTATGCAAGGCCAGTTCCAACTTGATTTTAAATGGGTGTTTATTCTTCGAATTTATAAGTAATTTATAGTACATTAAAATGTTGTAATAATGTACCATAATATTGTAACATGTTAACAATTTTAACAGAAAAGTTATTATGCCTAACAAACAACTTTTGGGATTAGGTTTTTTAAGCAAATATTTATCTTGTATTCTAGTTGTCACTCATCGGGCTAAAAATTGAAAAAAGACAGTCATAAGTAGTCTTTCAAAGTTTTAAAAAAATTTTAAACTATTGCTGTTACTTCTTGTCTGAACTCCAGTTTTAGCCTCTTTTTTATAGTTCACGTTTATTAACTAACCGTCACTCTGATAGCCCTTCAGCTGACACATCTTCAAAAATAGAGGCCAAAACTGAACACACTATTTCAAAAGAGGTTGAACCAATAATATGATTGAATATGATTTAAAATCTTCATTTTTCAAGAGTGGGTATACAAGAACAGTCTTAAATGTTGAAATGGTCACTTGTTATCCACACATTATGATATGTTACAAGTCACAGATGCTGTTAGAAGGGGATAAATCACTATTTATGGGCAGAACTTCAGTCAGGATAGCATTCTGTGCCAGCCACTAAATGTCCATTAGAAATTAGGTTAGGCATGATGCCTTAGGTTAAGTTCTACCCAATATAAAATCAAAGTTTGTTAATGCCAGGCAGTAATAATGAAGCAGCTATAATGAGATAAAATGTAATTCCTTAGTTCCACAGAATTATGATAGTAAAAACATAAAAATGTTTTAAAATAATGAAGCAGTGTAATATGATATTATTCCTAAACTTTTATTTTGGGTACTTTAAAGAAAATGGGTTCCAAAATTAAAGTTTGTAACATACTCATAAATTTTTTCACGCTTCTAATAGCAAATAGCATAATAGCTTTGGAAGAATGGAGTCTCAGGAATCAACTTTTAATTTTCATATGATGGAAATTTGGATATTTGAATTGTTCAGTATTGACAATGACATAAGTGCGAGATCATAACTTTGGTTGCATGTTAATTAAAATATATGATACTTTTATACAATTCTTTTTCTTTTTCAAGATCATTGATATCAGAGATATACTGTGTCCTGAAACCATAGACCAGATGAAGGATGTGTATCTTTTTCATTTTGTTTTGCTCAGTATTAATATAGTACTTATTGATCTAGTCACTTTGAAGAATCTTAGTTTTGCTCAGTATTAATATAGTACTTATTGATCTAGTCACTTTGAAAAATCTTAGTTTATTAGTCACATTTAATCAGTTTGGCTTTGTTCTTTGTTTCATTGAAAATCATAATGGTAATCCAAATTTCACTAGTGCCTTAAAGAAATATTTATAGTAATAATGTTAAATAGTATAATATACTGCCAAAAATGATATTATTGGTGGACAGTTACTATATTGTTTTCGTACTACAGCACTTTGTCATCAAATTTACTTGTATCCTGTAATACAGCAAATCCCTGGATGGACAATAAGCTCTTTTCTTGATATTCAGTGGCTGTAACCTTTTTTTTCCATCTCTTTGTTTCTATCATTTCATGACATATTTTAAGAAATACCCCCTCTACCAAAAAGAAACATCTACATGTATACAGTTGCTCAGAACAGAAGGGTAATGACCTTATTGTTCATGTACAGTCTTAGGGTGACAACAATTCCAAAACGTACTTACCTTCTCTCATACTCGCAGCTATTACTTGACTGCCAGGGTTTCTTCCTTTGCCCATCTAACCAGAGGTCTGAGTTTCTTTCACTTATACCAGTCTTTTATACCCCACTTAATTGCCCTTGGCAATATTTGTGCATCCTTTATCCTGGTGCTGTATACAAGCACCTCATTCATAAATTGTTATCACTTTTTCTCGACAAAGCGTCACTAATGAGTTTCCCAGTACCACAATTGTTTGGAGATATTTTAAATGTTCTCTGTGTTACCTAGTTGATTATCATAAAAAAAAAAACAAATTCTCTATTGGCAAGCCGATTTACGGTAGGAATTCCTGGATTATTATTATTTCTGGCATGGCAACAAATGAGGTCTATTCTATCCCACCTTTGATATCTAACATTGTACAACAATTAGGGGGAGGAGTCACTCTCGGTTAAAATTGTCGGTGATCTTATTCATAGTAGAATGGAGACATATAGTTGGTTCTGTAGTGTTCTTCTGGGGGAGCTGAAGCTGCAATTGTGGGCAATCTTTGACATTCTAGAAAGAATTTAGAATCACTTTTTCCTGCATCTTCTTTTAGTCTGTTGGTTTTTCAGTCCCCTTGTAGGACAGTGGTGAGTTTACAGACTTGCAACACTGGAATCTGGGGTTCAATTCCCTATGATGGACACAACAAATAACCCAATGTTGCTTTGCTCTAACAAAACAAACTTACCTGACCAAATGTTGTTCCAATCAATGGTAATCAACACAGTCTTTAAATGACATATAAAAACAAAAGGAGGTCAATTTGGGATAATCTGCCTTTGATTTGTTTTCTTCTGTTGGTTCAGTGAAAGTGTGTTGTTTTGGGTCTTTCCCCGGTTGTTTTTGGGCCATCCATAGACATTGTGGTTCATGCTGGGAGGTTTATTTCTTAGTTACGTGAAGGGACAGTTCTGTCTTATCTGACATGGTTGTCGGAACTTCGTGATTTAGCCTGTGGAAGCATTTTCTGACTCTCAAATAATACATTTGCTCCTCGAATTTCATTATTCTAAGGTGGAGTTTGTTGTTAACCTGAATAGATCAAAGACCCCTGATGGGACCGGATAAGTCTATAGACTTACAACTCTAAAATCCAACATTTTGTTTTATTTTCAATTTACTTGGTTGGAAAACTCTTGGGATCATCAGCCTCTTGGTACATTGGTACCCAGAATAGATTTTGTTTATATCCAAGGGATTTGCTGTTCAGTTAGGTCACTGCCAGTGTTGTCAGTGATTATTGTATGTCTGTAGGGGCTTGGCTCTGAGCATTTTTGGACGTTTGGTAACCTTAACAATGGATCCAGGAGCACTACAGGTCTTTGACTCAGGAGTATTCATTCAGTTCACATCTTTATTCTCATTGGTTGTTGAGCCTAAGAAGACAGGACATTGGTGTTCAGTCGTTGATCTTTCTCATCTATATCAATGCCTAGATTCTCCAAGGTTCACAAGTTACTCATTCCTCAATCTGAGTTGACATTTTCTACTGAGATTGTGGATGCCCAAGTTCATTGTAGTTGGCTCCTATGTGCATATTGCTGTAGTAGTGGCGTCCCACCACTATCGGCGTTTGTTGTGCACAAGGGTCAGGTACTGCAGTTCTAGGTTTTTACCATCGGTCTTGCATGGGTTCTTTGATCTCAATGGGTTGTTAAGTTGGGACACTACTAAGATACGAGTAACTCCACTGCTGCCTCATCCAGAGTTCCATCTCTTCATGAATGCATTGCTTCAGGGATGGGGGCATATACCAACAGTCAGGAATTCTAGGGTCTATGCACAAACAATGAGGACTTCCTACACAATGTTTTAGTCCTTTGTGCTCTTCAAAAGGCAATACCTCATCATCTGGGCTTATTAAGGGGAAAATCATCATACTTCACTCTGACAATTCCATTGTGGTGTCTTGTGTTTCTCAATGAGGAGGCACTTGGTCCAGGGTTCCTTGTTTTCGAATCTTGGACCTCCTTTCATGGGTCCACTCCAATCATATCACCCTTTTAGCTTGCCATGGGTGATGCCTGCAGTAGCAGATCAATTGTCTCAACCTAAACAGATTCTCCCAACAAAATAGATGCTGCAATGCAAGGTTCTGTTGGATGGGCTCTCATTTTTGCAACTCTGATTGGTCAGTTGGCCTCTCATTGGAACACCCAAATACTGGCAATTTGGTCTCCAGCACTTCACCTTCAGGCTGTGACAATGAATGCATTCCATCAGGACAGGATGGGATTACAACTCTAGACCTTTCCTCCAATTCATATGTTATCAAGGGTACTAAATATGATTTGTTCCAACTCATTGTTGGATCCTGTTGATAGCACCAGATTGGCAGCCACACTCTAGTTTCTGCGGTACCTTCCGGAGTGTCCACTTCTTTTTAGGCGATCTCTGTGGAGGCAGCTATGATCTGACATAGTACACTTGGCTATCCAGAAGCTTAAGCTTTCGCACAGCATCACAGTTTAATTTCTAAGGTTGCCATGTATCTGTCTCAGTCTTTGCTTAGTCCTGTGATGAACATTTATTAACAGAAATGACACAGATATTGGCAATGGTGTATTGAGAGGAGGTTGAACCCACTTCTATCAGAAGTGCCAATCATAACTTGTTTTTTGACCTGGCTCTTTGACAAGGGTTTTTTGCATCTTCCACAGTTGCCTTGTATAAGGTGGCCTTATTGACTACCATTTGACAAAATATTCTTCGAGTCCCCAGTACTCTCTGGATTCCCCAAGTTGCTTTGGGTCCTTGGTCCCGAAATGACCATTCCAGTAACCTAACTGGTATATTAAAGTTACATTACATGCCCTTTTTCAACACCTGTTTGTGACCTGATACTTATATGCTATGTATCATCTTTACCTGAAGGTTTATTTTTCATTGCTGTGACCTACAGACATCACCGGTCATTGTTTGTCCACAGACAGCTTTCTCATTCTATCTATTTCCTCAGACCAGTTCTTCTTATCCATGGCACTCTATGGCTACAGGTTGGGATCCATTCATATATATATATATAAATATATAGTTTGTGGTCCAGTTGCTCTAGCCACCAACATGAGATATAGGGACCGTGGTTCTATAATTCCAACCCTGAGTATTGGGACCTTGGTTATCTGGTTGGAGCCTGGCCAATAGTGATGACAAATTATTTAAAATTCCACCAACAGTACATGAACTAAGTACCAGGTGAAGAGCATACCTGTTCTGGAGGTAGTGCAGTTCCCCCACTAGGGTGCCAATCTTCTGTTAACACACCCATGATCTATGCAGACACTTTCTGTATGATAATGCCCCCCCCCCCCCATCTTATCAATTATCTTAAATCAAAAATGTATTTCCAATAATACTTACTTCCTCTCACACTCTCCCCACTAAGAGCCGGAGTTAGAGACTGGGATTGAATCAGCCTTGAAAAAGTGATAACATTTTCTGAATGAGGTGCTTATATATAGTACCGGGATGGAGGGCACATTGTCGTTGGTGAAGAGTGTCACCAGACAAATATCGTCAAGGGCAATTAAGTGGGGTATATAAAACTGGAGCAAGTGAGTAAGAATCAAACCAATGTTTAGATGGGCAAAGGAAGAAATCCTGGCAGTTGAGTAATAACTGTGAGAAAAGGTAAGTTTTATTGGAAATACATTTTCAATTTAAGAAAATGTTAACTTCCATCACTTGTTACTCATTTTATAGTTTTGTTTGTTTGTGTATATGCTGGTGTTTTACTTTTTTTTGCATCATTTCTATTTTACTTAGTTTCATAGTTTTTGTTGTGTATGTGAAATTATGATTGGTGCTGCTGTAATATTGCCATCTCAACCCTTGTGAAATTCATAGTCTTGTATATTATTATTATTACACCATGACTTGATTTTTTTTTTACTAGAATTTCACTGATTTTGTCTTTTTAAATCAGTAACAACTTTTTTTTTTACTTTGGAGAGATTGTGATAAGCATAAACATTAGCTAAAACTTCTTATGCTTAGAGCCATAGCCATTCTTCTTTCTACTTTCCTGTATGCATGGCTTGGTGACACTGATTTTCTTGTCAGACAGTGTCCTTTTTCACCTCTTTAAACTTTTTTTATTAAAATGAAAAAGAGGGCAGGAAGGTTCAGTTAAAACATCTATATTTTTAAACACTACATGTTTTATGTTATCTTGTTAGCATTAAGAACTTTATATGTATTGTAATAAATATTACAATATTTTAATATTAAAATATTTTTATTACTCATAAAAGGTTTTTTAAGGCATTAGAAAAAAACTATATTTATTAAACATATTTGCAGACAAGATGAAGCACATTTCTACAAACAATAAACATCTATCAACATTTTTTTGTGCAGTTGTGTACAGTCATGTTTTAGTCTGTTTTGCCAAATTTCATACAATTTTATGTAACAGTTTAAGTTAGACATGAAATGCTGTAAAACTGAGCTTATTCAGCCCTCTGAAGGTTCACCAGGTACCAGTTGGAGTTAGTACTGCAAAACTAAGCTGATTCAATACTGTGAGGTTTCACCATGTAAGAACTGGAGATTGACGCCACTTTTTGTGAAATGCTTTGAAGTTGAGTTTATTCATATTCTATAGAGTATTTAACCCACTTTGTGGTAGGTTTATTCCCTCATAGGGAATAAACATGTTGTGTGTTTATTCCCTCATAGGGAATACTTTTCTCTCCCCAGAAGATGCATTGAGTAAGGGATAACAGACATTGTTAAGTCCATTGGCTTCTGTCAGTGCTTGCTGTTGAGATAGGGTTTTCTGCAGTATTGCTTTGTCTGTGTATATATATATATATATATATATATATATACACACATATATTACTACTTACCGACGGTACCGTAACGTTAAAGAAAAGAAAAAATAGAACACGACCACCGTAGGTGTCGTACTTCGTACCCTACTCCTACCTA